GGGATTACAATCATTGTAATGAAACAAGGTGTATGATTTGTTGAATGTAAAACTGAGGATATGCCCTTTAAACGTTCACTCAATCCACAATAAAAACCTTTATAAAAAAAGGAGCTAAAGAGAATAGAAATACTGTTAACTGATGGTACATGGAGATTATAATCATTGTAATGAAACAAGGTGTATGATTTATTGAATGTAAAACTGATCATGTACCCTGTAAAATTTCACTCAATTCATAACAAAGACCTTAAAGAAAAAAAAAAAAGTAAGAAAAAGACCAAGATGTCAAAAAAAAGACTCTGAAACTTGCTTTCCAGCACAGAGATGCTAAAGTAAATGGGGAAAATGACAAGGTACAAGAGCTGAACAAAAGTTTTAAAGGTCAGCTCAAGAAAATACAGCAAAATATTATAATCAAATGTGCAAAGACAAAAGGTTAGAAAATCAAATGGGAAGAACACGCTCAGCATTTGTCAAGCTGAGGGAACTGAAGAAAAGATTCAAGCCTCAACTTGTGTTACTGAAGGATTCTATGGGCAAATGACACAGAAATAACCAAAAGATTATAGAAGGAAAACACAGTCAATTTACCAAAAAGAAATGGTTGATGTTCAAACATTTCAAGAGGTGACATGTGATCAACAGCCAATGGCCCTGAAGGAAGAAGTCCAAGGTACATTGAAGGCACTGGCAAAGAACAAGGTACCGGGGACTGACTGAATATAAACTGAAATCTTTCAATAAACTGATGCAGCACTGGAGGCACTCACTCATCTACGCCAAAACATTTGCAAGACAAACTACCTGGAAAAGATCCGTATTTGTGCCCATTCCAAAGAGAGGTGACCCAAAGGAATGTGGAAATCATTGGACAAGATCATTGATACCCCATGTGAGTAAAGTTTTACTAAAGAAAATACGGCTGCAACTATACATTGACAGAGAACTACAGAGGTTCAAGCCAATTTCAGACGAGAATGTGGAATGAGGAGCATCATTGCTGACGTCAAA